AAATGCTTCTTAATAAACGCCTCTGAGTCTATTTCTGACTTCCTCTCGAATTTGCCAAGGTAGTTTTTTTCAGTGTCTGAAAACATGACAGTAAGATAAAATGATTCAGGAGGGCAAAGAGCAGAAAAACAGCTATAAAGAGTGGGCAGAGGGGAAGGGGAGTGTTGGCCTCTCCCTGGGAGCTCCAGGCTCCATGTGCACACACAGGCTCATCCCTGCTTCTGTCAACTTCTTGTTCCCAGGCTGTTACTTAGAAAAGGAAGAAGAATGTTTCCTATTTGTTCATGTGAATTCACTTAAGAAACATATCATCAGTGATTAGGCCTCAGAGCTAATTTGTCTACATGCAGCTTAGAGTTAAGCTTGGGAATTTATTTTATTTGAAATTTAAAGGATGAGGTTCTCTTTGTCTTAAGGAGCTGAGAAACACAGCTCAGCTGCATCTAAGATGGTTTGTACTCACTCTCTTCCTCCCTTCTTGCTTCAGCAAGGATGGAAAGGCTGGGAGGATTCAGTTTCTCATGCAAAGAGCTACTCACGGAATTCCTGCCCTTTGCATATACTGGACAAGACCAACATTTCCCAGGGTGCTACTTGCAGTTGTGTTCATAACTGGTGGGGGAGGGTTGGGGATGACGGGGGCGCAGATAATAGCTAACATCAATTGATGGTCACTAGAAGCATTTTGCATGTATAATAACAGTAACAGCCAACACATAAAACGGTGCCTACTATGTGCCAGGCATAGTTTAAATTATTTTGTATACCTCAACCAATTTTATTCTTTCATACTCTTCTGAAGTAGTAATTACCATTACCTACATTTTACAGAAAGGTTAGATGTGGGCTCAGAAAGGTTAAATCACTTGCTTCGGGTTATATTCAGCTAGTGTCAGAGCCTGGATTCAAACTGTGATCATGTAGCTCTGTGCTCTTAACTGGTACCTTCAACCATCTTCCTAGGAGGGGGTTTTAGTATTAATATTCTTATAAAAAGGAGACTGAGGCAGGGAGAGAGGAAGGCGTCCTGAATTCCAGTGTAAGCAGGAGACTCCAGAGCCTGGGTCCTCTTTGCTACCTCCTCCAGGGACATGTGGAGACATCTGCACATCCAGCACTTCACGCAGGAAGTACCCTGAGGACCACATGGGATGACATAACTCATCTGGAGTAACTAGTGGCATGGTTCAGGGTGCAGAGCTGTGCTTGAGGTGCTCCCTAAACCCCAGCAGTCCTGATATTGCTTCTGGGGCCTGGAGGGGAGAAAGGGAGGCTGGTGTATATATATATAAATGTAATATATATTTTATATATGATACCCATAGGATACTTAATGCACATCACTTTTATTGTGATTTTGCCTAATACATTGGACCCTCAAACTATCAGACAAAAAACACTTCCAAAGTCTTCACCCCATAACCACCATCCCAGCAGAATTTTCCAGAAAGGCAAATACAGTATTGTGCTATTTCTGCGTGGTAGACATTGCATACTTATAATTCTGACACAGCAGGACTTTAAGCCATCCAGTCTTCTGGGCTCCTCTTCCTGTGTACCCAGATTAACGAGCAGAGTCCCATTCCTCTTCTGTGAGAGCCAAGTCCTCCTCAATATGTCCTGAGACTGTCTCTGAGAACTCAGTCTCCTGGTCCAGGATTGCCAGCATCCTGGCAGTGACTGCCCTTTCCCTGCCATGTCACCCTGCTATACAGGGCCCCAGTTTCTCTATCCTTTCTGCCTTAGGCTGCATTTGGCTGAATGCCGAGGAACTGAAGCACAGCATCATAGGGGCAATCGCAGAAGGCCTAATGTCCTGCCCTTTAGCCAAACCACTCACCACGTCCCCTTAAGGCCTTTCCTTGCCATTACCTTCTTGGGCTTTGCTCTTCTCCAGGGACAGCTGTCTACTCAACTAACGGCTTCCTGCAATCCCCAAATTCGGGTTACTTCCCACCAGAGCACAATACAGCTTGTTCTTCATTTTTGTTACTTCCTAGGCTATACCCAGAGCTTGCGTTTCTCACCTACAAGTCCCATCAAGGCTCATGGTATTATGTATTCCCTATAAGAGAATGTATGTCCTATTATGTGAAAGTGGCCACAGTCATGGCTTTAAATAGCATTCCCCCACTGCTACAATATGTGTATTGAAGCTTACAGAATAGTTGATAGTCAGGAATTAAGTCTAAAAAAGTAAGGACCAAATAACAATATAACAAAAATGACCCCAAACAAGAGATGCCCAAATAGTATGATCAAGCAAAGAATGGTGGTACCAAAAATAAGGGCAAGGAAGAGGAGATGGCTGATAGCAGGGATGGCCCCATGGGGCTCTCACGAGAGGGGTGAAGGTGGATTGAGTATGAGGGATGGAGGATGTGATGAGCGGGGAGAGAGTAGGAGGGTATCACAGGGAGGAGAAACCACTTAAGCAAAGGCAGGGAGGTGGCCTGGCACATGACCCACTGGCTTGGAGGAGTGAGTAGGAGTAATCCAGGCTGGTGGGGAACAGCAGGATCTTCACCAGTCCAGAAGGAGAAGCAGAAACCAGACAATGGAGACCCTGCCAATTGTCTTCTGGTAGCAATTCTGAAGTGAACAAGTTGATTGCGGTTCTCTGAGTGTAAGACACTCAACAATGTAAACTGCTAGGATGCAGCTCTGTAATTAAGACTATTTTCTTACAACATGTGTTTGTTTATTACAGAGAGCTGTGATCACTTGAGGGTGTCGTGTCAACCTCGTCTCATGCACCAGCTGAATTCAGTGACACTAACATCCTGGATCCTGCAGATGAGAGTATTATGACTGTATTACCAGGGAGGTTGCCCAGGGCTGGACACTGCTCTGCTCTGGAGGTGCTTGGTTTGCAGTGTGGGCGGAGTCAACCTGAGAGAAAGCCACAGAAACGCCTTGAGCTGGAGCCCCAGGCTAGTGTTGCTATGCCAGTGGTTCTTTTTTTTTTTTTTTTTTTTTTTTTGAGATGGAGTTTCACTCTTGTTGCCCAGGCTGGAGTGCAATGGCGTGATCTCAGCTCACCACGACCTCTGCCTCCCAGGTTCAAGCGATTCTCCTGCCTCAGCCTCCCGAGTAGCTGGGATTACAGGCATGTGCCACCACGCCTGGCTAATTTTGTATTTTTAGTAGAGACAAGGTTTTACCATGTTGGCCAGGCTGGTCTCAAACTCCTGACCTCAGGTGATCCTCCCGCCTCCACCTCCTAAAGTGCTGGGATTACAGGTGTGAGCTACTGTGCCCGGCCAATACCAGTAGTTCTCAAACTTCAGCCTGTGTCTGAGTCACCTGGAGGGCTATGAAAACACAGAGTGCTGGGCCCCATCCCCAGAGTTTGTGCCTTCAGTAGGTCTGTGGTGGGGCCTAAGGATTTGCGTTTGTAACAAGTCCCCAAGTAATGTGGGTGCTGCTGGTTGGGAGATCACACTTTCAGAATCACAGATTCACTCTACAGTCCCATTGTTAGCTTATAAAACTCTTCTTCTCTAGTTCTTTCTGTAAAGGTGTGTCCTGAGGAACCTCAGATCTGAGAGAAGAGTGAATGGAAGTCAAATGTGGAAACCACTTAAATGTCCATCAACTGATGAATGAATAAACAAATTGTGTTATATCCATACAATGGAATATTATTCACCTATAAAAAGGAATGAAGTTTTAATACACTGACAACTAGATGAAAATTGAAAACATTATGCTATCCATTCTGCTTCAGGTTGGAAAAAAAAAATATCCTCACCTAAAGAAGCCATCAACAAAAGGCCACATATTGTATGATTATATCATATGACCAGAATACGCAAATTCACAGAGACAGAAAGCAGATTAGTGGTTGCCAGGAACTGAGGGAAGCAGAAGAATGGGGAGTGACTAGTCACTGGGTTTTTCCCATTGTGATTAAAAAAAAGTTCTGGAACCAGTTGGTGGTGATAGTTGCACAACATTGTGAATGTACTTAGTACCACTGAATTGTACACTTTAAAATGGTCAGTTTTGGCTGGGCACGGTGGCTCATGCCTGTAATCCCAGCACTTTGGGAGGCTGAGGCAGGTGAATCACCTGAGGTCAGGAGTTCAAGACCAGCCTGACCAACATGGTGAAACCCCGTCTCTACTAAAAATACAAAAATTAGCTGGGCGTGGTGGCACATGCCTGCAGTCCCAGCTACTCAGGAGCTGAGGCAGGAGAATCACTTGAATCTGGAAGGCGGAGATTGCAATGAGCTGAGATTGTGCCACTGTACTCCAGCCTGGGTAACAGAGTGAGACTCTGTCTCAAAAAAAAGAAAAAAAAAAGAAAAGTTAGTTTTATGTAATGCCTATTTTATCACAATCAAACAATTTTTAGAAGAGTGAATGGAGTGTTGTTTTAACTCCCATTATGGGACCAATTGAAAGGTTTATAGGATAGAGGTTGGAAATGCAAAGGGCCTAAACCAGTGGTTTTCAGCCCTGATTGAGCCAGCCTATCCTTGGAGAGTTTTATATCCTATCCTTGACCAATTAAATCAAAATCTCTGCAGGTAAGGCCCAGGCATCAAAAAAATTTTCAATACATCCCCGGATGAGTTTAACATACCATCAGGATTTCAAACAGTGGCCTGAAACTTCAAGGGCCAAATGAGTTAATGACCTTGGTACAAACTGACTTGACCCATATCATGAACAATGTGTCTTCATCTTCTCCCATACTTGCTTGGGAAGGGATGTAGAGCAGAATGAGGAGGCTTTCAGAATCAGATCTGCCCAGGATTTGAAAACTGGCTCCGTTACCAACTAGCTGTGTGTCCTTGGGCAAACCACATAACCCTTCTGGGTATGTTTTCTCCTAAGTGAAGAACACCATTTCAGAGGGTTTTTGGAAGGCACACATGAGGCAGCCAATTTCCCAGCTTTACCAGTGTCAGACCCTGTTTAGTCATCATTCCATTCTTTCCATCTCATTCTAGGCCGGAAAGGAGAAATAGTCTTATTTGCATGAAAGTCCTAGTACTGCTGTATCTCGTACTGTAAGTTCAGTTTTCTCCCTTCACCTGAGGGTAAGTTGAAGAATAACTTCATAAGCCAGGGAGAGAGACGTTTGGATCAGGAGTTAGTGATAACAGGTGAGCCTAATAATAACCCTTTTTGCACTCATGTTCAGATGTTTTTTATGCACCAAGCTTTATAATGATGTAGATATACTCTAAGACAAAAACAGATAAAACTCACCTACAATTTTGAATCATAAATAAAATAGTTTGGATTTTTCTGTGTTTCTGGTGAGTCCTTATTCTTCAGTAATATAAGGAATATATTTTTATTCAACTACAATTAAAGCGTAGATATAATTTTATACTCTGCATTTTCTTTTCACTCACTATCTTCAGCATTTGTCATGTTTCTATAGTTCATTATTGACATTTTAATGACTAAAGAGTATTTCATTTCATTCATTGAATAGCCTTACTATAATTTATTTTGATATTCCTCTATTAAGCCTTTTGACTTCTTCTAAGTTTTCAATATTAGAAATTGTACATAATAAAAATATTTCTGCATATAACTTTTAATTTCCTTTGACTTCTTTTCTTTTCTTTTTTTTTTTTTTTTTTGAGACAGAGTCTTGCCCTGTCGCCCAGGCTGGAGTGCAATGCCACGATCTTGTCTCACTGCGACCTCCGCCTCCTGGGTTCAAATGATTCTCTTGCCTCAGCCTCCCGAGTAGCTGGGATTACAGGCACCTGCCACCACGCCCAGCTAATTTTTGTATTTTTAGTAAAGATGGATTTCACCGTGTTGGTCAGGCTGGTCTCGAATTCCTGACCTCGTGATCCTCCCACCTCAGCCTCCCAAAGTACTGGGATTACAGACATGAGCCCCTGCTCCCGGCCTTGACTTATTTTCTTAAAATAAATTTCCTTTAAGTTACTGGATCAAGGGGTGTGAACATTTTAAGGTTCTTGAATGCAGTATCAAATTGCTTTGGTAAAGGATTGTACCAATTTACACTGCTACCAGCAGGATGTGGGTGTACATTTTCAACAATTTGACAGTACCGAATTTCATCATTTAAAAAAAGTTTACAAATTGTACATAATTTAATTTAATATAAACTAATAAATTACTGTGTCCAACTTTTGAGCATGCATAAAATTTTTTCCCCATTTCTTTTTTGGTGGCATCCCTACTATTTTGTAAACTGCTTGAGGGCAATGAATAATTCAGGGAATCCCTCCTCCCAGTAATTCTTCAGTTTTGATAATAGCAGTGGGTTTGGGGTTGTTTTGTTTTCAAGATAAACTAAATTACCCTTTATTTCACTGATGTTGGCAGCCCCAGAGGACTCTGTTTGCAGGAAAAAAATGTATGAAGATTTCCATAGGTGGGAAGTCGACCTCTCCCACACAACGAGAAGAGCAGCTAAATCATTGCTCTTTTCTCCCAGTCTCTCCCTGCACTCCCGTCTCGTTTCCTGTCTGCTCCTGAAGAGCCAGCTCAGTATGAATTAAGGAAAAGCTATTTGTAGTGTGCATGGGAGCAAAAAGAACCCAAATAGGCTCTTCCTAAGCTATTGAGCTTAGCTTTCACTCTTTCCAGCAGGAAAAGGTTCGTGCATGCCCAGATGATACTACTTGTACTTTGGTACCCATTGATTGGGACAGTTTGTGCCGATGAAAAGCTGCTGTGAATTCAGTAATGCTTTTTAAATATGTATTTTAATTTCAGTGTCTACGTAAATTTCAAAAACAGCAATAAAAAATATGCTTGAGACCAATTTATCCGGCCACACCTATTTGGTGCATATTTGCATTCTTAGATTCCTTAAGTGTCCTCTGCACAAAGGTTAGGAAATTGTGCCCTGACAATAAATCAGTATCTTATTAGAACTAAGAGGTTAACCAGTTAAGAGGACTACAGAAGTCATTGTTAACTCATACTTTGTAGTATTTAATACAGTAACCTGCCTCTGCTAGAAGTAAGGACTCCTCAACTTTTAAAGATAGCTAATTTTAGAAGTCTGCTTCCTACCTGTTCACCTTTTTCTCATTGGTGACAGCAACAAACAATTAATGGCATTTCTTAAATGTCTTGCTGTCTGAAATAAGATCTTTTTCCAATTAAAAAGTAACAAAGGCTGCACCTCTCCTCTGCTTCCTTCTTTGGCTGTAACATCTTGACATCGCTCTCTCTGTCTCCTGTTTTATCTAAGACTGAGCTTGCGTGAAAACAAAATAAGTCATATGCTTCTATTGGGGGGGGATTATTTGTGACTTTGGTTTTAAAGAAAATTTATGCTGGTGGTTTGCAGAAAGTTGACATATATCCAAGTGTTCCCTTATCAGAGGGCAGCAGGGTCCCCATGGGTTCATATCTTTGCCTGGACAAGGAGTCTTTGTACCCTGGTCATGCCTGGGTTGTCGCAGGGATAGGGTAACTCACTTATTCACACTCTTTCTCCTTTCCTGTTTCCTTCAAAGACACCCTGGTCCTAGTTGACTTTACCTTACTGTTCAAAATTCAGCACAGCATATGTCAAATTGTACATTCTTAAACTCAAGGAAACAGAAAGGTTATAACCTGGTGGTTTCCAAGCCTGGTTTTTCATCAGTCTCTTGGTGAACTTTTAGAAAATCTATATTCTTTTTGCCCCCACAGCCATTCTGATTCATTAGGACTGCGTGTGGCCATGGAACTTGCATTTGGAAAAGCTCTCCTTATGTTTCTGATGATCAATCCAGTTTCAGAACACCAAGCTAACCAGACTCCCAGGGTAAGACCTCCTTGAATATCATCTCTGGCAGGTGGTTGTACAACCTCCACTGTAAAACCTCCAGCCATGGGGCACTCACCACTTTTTATGAGTGGCCTGAGTTGAGACATTCTTCCTTGTGATGAGTGGAAAGGCATTTCCACCACAAGAATTTCAGCAGTCCATTCACCCTGAAATTCCTCCTTGGTCACTGCCTTTTCAGCAGCAGCCTGCTCTTCTTTTTCAATCTCTTCAGGATCTCTGTAGAAGTAGAGATCAGGCATGACCTCCCACGGGTGTTCACGGGAAATGGTGCCACGCATGCGCAGAACTTCCCGAGCCAGCATCCACCACATCAAACCCACTGAGTGAGCTCCCTTGTTGTTGCATGGGATGGCAATGTCCACATAGCGCAGAGGAGAATCTGTGTTACACAGAGCAATGGTAGGTAGGTTAACAAAAGATGCCTCCGTGAGAGGCTGGTGGTCAGCCCTGGGGTCAGTAACCACAAGAAGCCGTGGCTCCCGGAAGCCTGCCTGGATCTGGTTAGTGAAGGTTCCAGGAGTGAAGCGGCCAGCAATTGGAGTGGCTCCAGTGGCAGCAGCAAACTTCAGCGTGGCCCTCTGGCCAGTATTCCTGGAGGATATAACACTGACATCAGCAGGGTTTTCAATGGAAAATTTCTACCTGTTGATTTCAATTATGCCTGTTGGAGCAATACCAAAAACAAAGTTATTTTCCTTCCCCATAATAACCTTTCAAATACTTCAACCTCTCAAGCAGTTATTGTTTCCTTCTCAGGATCTCTCTTCCCTTTTCCAGACCCTTAGTCCAGGTCCTTCTCTGATTATGGTTGGAGTGAGAGTGTTGATTATGTGCCAGGTGCTTTAGACATGTCTTTTAGATAAACTCTTGAGGGAAATTTATGGTGCCACTATCTTCCCAGTGTTTGGGATGAGAAGACCAAGGGCCGAAGAAATGATATGACCTGCCCAGCTCCCACAGCTAAGTAGCTAAATAGAAATTTGAACACTCCATCTGACTCCAAATTCTACATCCTCAACTAACATGTTATGCTTCAGATTTTTTCTTTCTTTGTTTTTAAATGCAAAATAATAAATGCTAAATATGCATTAAGTCAAGGTATATAAAAGTAAAACCCTCCCTTTTAAAATTCTACTCTAGAGGCTGCCACTGCCAAATTTGCGAAGGCCCTCTGAAGCCCACCACCACAAGCTGGAGGTTATAGTCACAGCAGAGGGGAGTCTTCGCCTCCTTTGTTCTGGACAGCATCTGCAGTGACTGCTGCCTCCAACTGCACTGTGGGCTTGCAGCAGTGAGTAGGTTTCTTTTGACCTTGAAGCACCTAGACCCTGAGTTTTTTGTTTGTTTTAAATAAACTTGTTCAGATATCACTCATTTTGTATCCTTGCACATGTGTTTCTTGGTCTTAAAAGGACTTTATATCTATCTCCATTATTTTTCTTGTTAGTTGTGACCCATTATTTCAACTTATGTATATCTTTCAGTTCTTTCAGTTTGATCACCAATTAAATTATCTAGCTCAATGTCATTCTCAGATCTTAATACATGTGATGCCTCTCTTTGTCCAAATACTTGATAAGAGCTTTGTTAAAGGTAGGACCAACGAGAGTCTTTGAGCACTTATAGGGGAATTAATCAATTAATACTCCTGGGCTACAGTTATTCAACCAAATATGAACACACCTGATTGTATTATCATTCAGTCTTGTCTATAATGGCATGAAAATTGGTCAAATGCCTTTCTGTTCACAGCATTTTCCTGATTAATCCACTACGCTTATTCAAAAAGGGAAGTATTCAATTTTATTCTTGGCAAACCTATGTGAGTTCCTACATACCATCGCCTTTTCTTCTTAGGGTTCAGAAAATATCTCTTTTATAGTCTGTGCAAGAACTTTGCTGTGGATTGATATCAAACTTACATTTTGGCTGAGCTTTGAGTGACTCAGAAAGGGGCTGGGTTCAGGCTGGGATGTGTGGAGCCTGGAGTGGTGGCAAGGCAAAGGCCAGCAGGGATAGTGAATAGAGGCCTCAGTGATGAGGTGGGTGGGTTGGTTAAGTGCACAGGTGATTGGGCTGGCTAATTAGGGTAGGGAATTGACTAGCTGTCAGTGAGGTGAACTGAAGAAGCCACCCTATGAAGGTGTCAAGGGGCAGGGAAAGAACAAGAATGGAATCAGGGTAGATGTCTCTTCAGAGAGCAGCCAGCTGGGCAGAGAAAGGCTGGAGGCTGAAGCTTGATTAAAATACACTATGGTAGAAACCATGAGAGCCCAAGGATCCAGGAGGTGAAGCTGATGTAAGTCAAGGGTGAGAAACGGTCTTGGGGAACTGAGGCCTCATCGGGTCTTCTGATGAGACAGCTGTATTCCCTGTCTCAGCAAATGATGCCAACTACCCAGTTGTCCAAACCAGAAACCTGGTGTCCTCCTGGAGTCCTGCTGCTCCCTCAGTCTCCCCATAGCCACTTGAATTATCAAGCCCTATCATTCCTACCTCTAATATTTATACCTCAAATAGTTCTCAATGCCCATTTCTCTATCACCCTTGCCACTGTCATCTCTCTCCCTGCCACCCCAATTTTTTATTGTGGTAAAATATAAATAATATATAATTTACCATCTTAAGAATTTTTTGTTGTTGTTGTTTGTTTTTTTGTTTTTTAGACAGGGTCTCACTCTGTCACCCAGGCTGGAGTGCATGGTGCTATCTCGGCTCATTGCAACCTTTGCCTCCCGGATTTAAGCAATTCTCCTGCCTCAGCTTCCTGAGTAGCTGGGATTACAGGCACGTGCCACAACGCTCAGCTAATTTTTGTATTTTTAGTAGCGATGGGGTTTCACCATGGTGGCCAGGCTAGTCTTGAACTCCTGACCTCAGGTGATCTGCCCGACTCACCCTCCCAAAGAATTTTTAAGTGTACAGTTCGGTGGAATTAAATACATTTACCATGTTGTGAAACCTCACCATCATCTGTCTCTGGAACACTTTCCATCTCATAAAACTGGAACTCTGTGCCCGTTAAACAATTATTGGCCAGTTTCCTCTTCCTCAGCCTCTGGCAACCAACACTCCACTATCTCTATGATTTTGACTAATTCTAAGTACTTCATATAAGTGCATTCATACAGTACTTTTCTTTTTGTGACTGGCTTATTTCACTTAACATGTCACTTAACATATCTTGTAACGTGTTACTTAACATTTCACTTAACATGTTCATCCATGTTGTAGCATATGTCAGAATTTCCTTCCTTTTAAAGGCTAAATAATATTCTATTTTATGTATATATCATATTTTGTTTATCCAATTATTCATTGATGGATGCTTGGGTTACTTCCATTTTTTAGCTATTGTGAATAATGCTGCTATAAATGTGGACATACAAATAGCTCTTTGAAAAGTGGGATTAATGGATCATATAGCAATTCTACTTTTAACTTTTTGAGGAACCATAATACTGTTTCCACAGTAGCTGCACTATGTGACATTCCCACCAGCAGTGCACAAGGGTTTCAATTCTCCATATCGTCCTAACACTTGTTATTTTCTAATTTTTTGATACTAGCCATCCTAGCGGGTGTGCAGTGGTATCTCATTGTAGTTTTGATTTACATTTCCCTAATGATAAGTGATGTTGAGCATCTTTTCATGTGATTATTGGTTATTTGCCTATATTTTAGGAGAAATGTCTATTCAAGTCCTTTGCCCATTTTTTAATTGGGTGGTTTTGTTGTTGAGTTTTAGGGCTTTATATATTCTGCATCTGAATCCCTATTGAGATACAGGATTTGCAAATATTTTCTCACGTTCTGTGAGTTGCCATTTTACTCTTAATAGTGTCTTTCGATGCACAGAATTTTAAAATTTTCATGATGTCTAACATGTCTATTTAAAAATTTTTGTTGCCTATGTCTTTGGTGTCATATCCAAAAAAGTCATTGCCAAATCTATGTTGTAAAGCTTTGCTGCATGTTTTCTTTGAAGAGTTTTATCATTTTTAGCTCTTGTGTTTAAGTCTTTGATGCATTTTCAGTTAATTTTTGCATATGTTCTTAGTTAAGGATCCAACTTCATTATTTTGCATGTGGATATTCAGATTTTCTAGCACTACTTGTTTAAAAGACTGTCTTTTCCCCTATTGAATGGTCTTGCATTCTTGTCAAAAATAATTTGACTCTTGTCATCTCACTCTTGAATCACAAGTCCTCTAGCCTCCAGACATGGCTTCCCACTCAGTCTGTGTATTGTGGTTACAGCCCTTATTTTGAAATAAACTTGATCATATCTCTCTCGGGCTTAAAAAGTCTTCAGTGGTTTTCCTGGCACCTTCAGAATAAAATAAAGCCCTTCAGCATGGGATACCTGCCCCTTCCTAGGGATGCTCCCCTGCTTCATCTTGCATGCCTCAGACTCTGGTGGTCTGTCTACTGGTTGATCGTAATGCTCTTTTGTGCTATTGGACATGTTACTCCTGCTGCCAGAATATCTGACTCCCACCTAACTCCCATTCACCTAACTCCCATTCACCTACTTGCTGCTCTACTCAGTATGTCTCCTCTGTCTACCACAACCTGCTCCCCATTATGAGAAACGTGCCCTTTGAATGCCCTTGTCTTACTTCTTTCATAGAACATAATTGCTCTGTGTTGGGATGATAGATTTATCTGCTTTTCTCCTCTCTAGATTGTGAGATCCATGAGAGCCCAGAAAATATTTTAGGATCCCTAGTGCTTAGCACAGAGCTTGGCATATGGAGGTGAGCAAAAAGATTTATTGAATCCAGTTGTCCATCTACTCATCCATTCAATATGAATGAGAGAACAGCCCTTTTTTTTTTAAGAGGGATGGCCTTTTCTTAAAAGACCTGTATCTTGAAGCATTATTTTCCCCTATTCAAGGCCCGGTTTATTAGGTCCTGATACTTAATGGTGGTAAAAGGGTATTATTATTGGAAGGTTGGGTATGTCAGAGGCACAATAGTAGTTCAGACAGTGAACTGAAGCTTTTTTGCCTGGAATTCACTGGCTTCTTTGATGAGGATAGGAAGTAGCCTAGGACTATTGCTGCGACATGACATCAATCTTGGTGGCTAAGAGGAAGGGGCTGTGAAGGAGGGGGTGGACTTGGGAGATGAAGAGTTCCTGTGGCTCCAGTCCACCAGAATGGATGACCTAGGCAACAAAAGTAAGACTGGGAAGTGTTTTTCATCTACTTAGAGTTTGGGATATATGGATGAATTGAGTGAAATGAGGATTTTGGTGAGTATCTCTACTAGGTTACTGACAGGGATGGGTTCTCCAGGGATTCAGCTGAATCTTATAGGTAGATCTGATCTGGTAAAAGATAAGGTATAAATTGGCCTGTCAACAGGACATTCGTACTGGTAGTTATTACTACCTTGATGGCTTTAAGAGATTTTGGGGGCTGGGAAGAAGTAGAGTAAATGTAGCCAAACAGATGGATGTATTAGGGAAAATATAGCTGTAAGGAGCAGTGAGAGCTTAGTGATGGTGGCAGTAGAGCATAAAGACAAATTGTCTTTAACTTTGGCTTTGCAAAAATTGGGGCATAAACTGGGGCTATATTACTGAAGCAATCCGATTAGGAGGATTCATAAAAATGAAATGCATTTCATATGCACATCTGGGCAGCTGTAGCCACTGTAGGTTTCTTGTAGGTCTGATAGAAAATGAGCTCTGTTGGTGAACACCTTAGCCAATATGATGAATAGTAGTGAAAGGCTGTACCTTGGGAGGCTCAGGATTATACTGGTGTACCTATCACTGAGAGTTACTAGGCATATGACAGACTGAATGAAGAGTTGACCTAGGGACACTCCTTGAATATGTCCCCTTTTTTTGATCAGCATATCCTTCTAATCTCCTAGGAGTTCCAGTTTACAAAATGTAATGGTGGGAATAAACTAAGAAGTAAGGCATGATTACCCTATCTGGGTGTTAGGGGTACTTGGCCTCTGTGATTGACACAGAGGCCAAACCATGCTATAGTCTGTGCCTTTTCCTGCTGCTTTCTGCTGAGAGATGCAAAGGACGGCAAGGCTGAGTTGTAAATTCTTGTACATTCTTGTCCATTGATCCTGCTGCCTTGAGCAGGGCCAGGTCAAGCCAGTCCTATGGTCTAGAACATAAACCCTGTGGTTTTGGACACTCAGGGTGCTGTGTGTGTTGATGCTGAATGAGTAGGCTTGGTGCTTAGTTGAGCTTTCAGAACCCTGGAAATGCTTGAGTTTGCAGTGACTCATGCACAGTAGAATGGAATGCCTGATTCTGCATCCCTCTAGACAGGGTCAACAGGATCAAAACATGACCTTGATGGCCAAGCCAAGTTCTCTTTTTCCCAAAGGGTTTTCTGCCCTATTTAATATGGTAGCCAGTAGCCATATGTGACTATTTATATTAAATTTAAATTAATCAAAATTTAAAAATTAGTTACTTAGTCACACTAGCTACATTTTACATGCTCAGTAGCCACATAAAGCCAGTGGCTGCTGTATTGAACAGTGCTGATTATGGAACATTTCCATCACTGCAAAAGGTTCTCTTGGACAGCACTAATCCAGATCTCTTTGTAGGAGAAGAATTGGCACCTGGAGCCGCCTAATCTTCAAGGGGCACATTGCAGAGCATGGTGTTGACCCATCTGGATACCATGTTTGAAGTTGACATGGCCCAGAATTTGACTTCCACCAGTTAAAAATATACTTCGACAGTTTTGTATTTAACCTGTAAATCCAGAAGCATGACAGGGCCTTCTGGATGGAGCACTGTGAAATTAGCGTACACTTCAAACCCTCTTCCCTAAAAGATCATGCGCTACCGTGCTTTACATGGTAGACCTGTCTCGTAGTGTAGGCTTCAGCAGATACTCTTTGACAAATAATTGGTTCTGTGCTGCTGATAAGCCTAATAAGTGAAAGATGGTCTTTCTCTTAAAAAATTGAGATATATGATACCAGTCTCATAAACTCTAATTCACAAGCCCTGGCATTATGAGAGGCACTTAAAGCATGAATGGCATTAAGATTATCCTTTAATTTTGCAGTAGGCAAATGACCTCCCAAAGATATTCACTTCCTAATCCCCAGAATTTGGGAGTACGTTACCTTACATGACAAAGGGGATTTTGCAGATGTGAGGAAGTGAAGGATTTTGAGACGGGGAGACTATCCTGGATAATCCCAGTGGGACCCATGTAATCACACAAGTCCTTAAAAGTGGAGAACTTTTCCCTGCTGTGGTCACAGAAAAAAAATGCAACCAATGTAAGAAGGGTCAGAGAGATTCAACATTGTTGCCTTTGAAGGTAGAGGAAGTGACCACAAGCCGAAGAATGCAGACAGGCTCTAGAAGCTGGGAAAGAGAAGGAAACGTATTCTCTGCAGAGCTACCAAAATGAATATATCCCTGTCTACACCTTGATTTTAACCTGGTGAGACCTGTATTGGGCTTCTAACCTACAGAACTCTAAGATAATAACTATATGTTGTTGAACCTGCTAAGTTTGTGGGAGTTGTAACAATAGCATTAGGAAATTAATACACCTTTTATACAGTGGAGGATGACTAAATAATTTATTTTGAAAAATACAACTGTCACAAGGATGAAATATTCATGATCACAAATTAGTGCGTTCTTAACTGTGGATAATTATGTATGAAGCCAAATTGTAATAAAACTGTTATTTGCCAAACATAGAAACGTTGCTTTGTGACTAGGCTGAGTCCAGAAGGTTATTCTCTCTGCTTCTATCTGTTATGTATCTGGGCAAGTGTAAGGCCTTTGCAGGTGAATCCAGTAGAGAACATGCTAAGAATGAGCAGCAGTCATGCACGACTATCACTGAAAGCCTTCTAGCCATTTCATAGCTTCACTTCCCTGGTTTTATTTTTTCAGAGAGGACTGAAGGAGATGAATGGATAATAAACTATTGCTAAAAACTTGGTCTTGATGAACTCTTTGATGCGGGGCTATGGGGGGATGGTGATGGGTGGGTACCATGGGATCGATAGCCCTGCACCAGCTCAGAGGTATAATTGTGAGGCTGATGGAAATGCTCATCAGGGAGAAGGAAATCAGGACCACAGCTTCTGAGGACTGAACATGCTCTCAACTCTCAAATATAGAATCATTATTGGCCTTGGCATTCATGGTGTTAGCCTTGACTCAGATGAGAATGCCTCAACCCTTCCTAAGTTCTCCGAGGCCCCTGAGTAGACTGTCACTAGGACCTGGGGACATGGAGCTCAGTTAATGGCCTCTTATTTTTACTATGCCATAGCACCCACCTGACTTCCGGAAGACATTGCTTCACTTTCATAGACAGAAGATGTAACAGCTGCCACGAAGATCCCTGGAGCTCCGCCCAGCGATTCTCACTCTCAGCTGGGTAGCTGACCAGTTTTCCCTGAGAAGACATGGTTTCCTCCAGCAGCAGCAGAAGGAGTCATGGGTTTTTCTGTTTCATGGCTCAAACTGTTGTGACTCAGAATTATACTAGGACAGGGCCCTGACTTATTCTTCTGGGCTGGGCTGAGTGAGGCCTGGCTGAGTGCACCTGGTTACACAGGTAGGGGTGGAATCAAACACTGGAGGTACCCATAACGCTGGTTAGGAGGATAACTAGCTAGAATAAGGTTGGCAAGAACTGGGTGAGCAGGGATAGGAATTAAGACTGAGGACTGGGCTGAGGGTAGGTCAGGGGTTCTGGCAGCAACACAGCTGGAATGAATGGAGAAGCACACACACACCAAAAAAAACCAGGCTAAGAAGAGCCTACATCAAGCTTGGCCAACCCACGGCCCGCGGGCTCCATGTGGCCCAGGATGGCTTTGAATGTGGCCCGGCACAAATTTGTAAACTTTCTTAAAACACTATGAGATTTTTTGGTGATTTTTTAAGCTCATAACTATTGTTAGTGTTCGTATGGTTTTTTTTGTTTGTTTGTTTTTTGTTTTTTTGAGATGGAGTCTCGCTCTGTCACCCAAGCTGGAGTGCAGTGGTGCAATCTTGGCTCACCACGACCTCCCCCTCCCAGGTTCAAGTGATTCTTCTGCCCCCGCCCCCAGAGTAGCTGGGATTACACGTGCTCGCCACCATGCCCAGCTAATTTTTGTATTTTTAGTAGAGAGAGGATTTCACCATGTTGGCCAGGCTGGTCTTGAACTCCTGACCTTAAGTGATGTGCCCGCCTTGGCCTCCCAGAGCGCTGGGATTACAGGCATGAGCTGCTAGGCCCGGCAGTGTTAGTATATTGTATGTGTGGCCCAAGATAATTCTTCTTCCAGTGTGGACCAGGGAAGCCAAAAGATTGGACACCCATGGCTGAGATGGACATGAAGCCAGGTAAGTACATGGCAGGTAAGCTGAGCTCCAAATGGGAGGCAGTGGGATATCACAGTCAAGAGCATGGGTTTTTCATTCACTTACATAGATTTGAATTTAAATCCTGTCCTCCCAATTACTAGCAGTGTGATTTGGGGCAATTTACTTCTTCCCGCCCCAGTTAATTTATCTCTAAAATTGGGATAATAATATGTATCCTGCAGGTGATTGTAAGAATTAGAAATAAGGCATACAACATGCCTCACACATTGCTTCTCTGACTGGATTCACAAATGTACTCTTGGGAGTCCAAAAGTTCTCCACAAAAATTTTATCTTAAGTTCTTAACCTTTTTTACATGTATTTTAAAGAGCAGTTTTAGGTTAATATCATATTTGAGAAGACAATACAGAGAACTCTCTCTCGTGGTAGTTTATAATCTATCCCCATTGCTTCATCTGGATTATCATTCCCCACCATTGACATCCTGCACCAAAGTGGTACATTTGTTACAATTGATGAGGCAGAATTGACACATCATTGTTACCCAAAGTTCATAGTTTACATTAGATTTACTCTTGATGTTGTAGTTATAATATCCCATGGGTTTTTAACAAATGTAGCATGACATGTATCTATCATTATTGAATCATACAGAATATAGGCATGTCTCAGAGATATCATGGCTTGATTCCAGACCACCACAATAAATCAAATATTGCAATAAGGTGAGTCATATGAATTTTTTATTCCCCAGTGCATATAAAAGTTACATTAAAACTATACTATGTTATATTAGGTGTGCAATGGCATTATGTCTAAAAAACAGCATACACACCTTAATGAACAAATAGTTTAAAGTGCTAATGATCGCCTAAGCCCTCAGCCAGTTGTCATCTTTTTGCTGGTCGATGTTGATGGCTGCTCACTGATCAGGGTGGTTGTTGCTGAAGGTGGTAGGTGGCTGTGGAAATTTCTTAAAATACAACAACAATGAAGTCTACCACATTGATTGACTCTTCTTTCATGAAAGAGTTTTCTGGAGTAGGCAGTGCTATTTAACAGCATCTTACCCACAGTAGAACTTCTTTCAAAATTGGAGTCAAACCTCCCAAACCCTGCCACTGTTTCATCAACTAAGTTTACATAATGTTCTAAATCCTTTGTTGTCATTTCAACAATGTTCACAGTATCTTTACCAGGAGTAGATAACATCTCAAGAGACCGCCTTCTTTGTTCATTCATAAGGAGCAACTCCTCATCTGTCAATTTCTATCATGAGATGGCAGCAATTCAGTCCTATCTTCAGGCTCCACTTCTAATTCTAGTTCCTTACCTATTTCTACCACATTTGCAGTTACTTCCTCCACTGAAGTCTTGAATCCCTCAAAATCATCCATAAGGGTTAGAATCAACTTCTTCCAAACTCCTGTTTGTGTTGATATTTTGACCTCCTCCATGAATCATGAATGTTCTTAATTATGTCTAGAAGAATCATCTCCAGAAGGTGTTCAATTTACCTTGCCTAGATCCACCAGAGGAAGCACTGTCTATGACAGCTATAGCTTTATGAAATGTATTATATTTCTTAAATAGTAAAACTTGAAAGTTGAAATTATATTTTGATCCATGGGCTGCAGAATGAATGTTGTGTTAGCAAGTATGAAAACATCATTAAACTCCTTATACATCTCCATCAGAGCTCTTACATAACCAGTGCATTGTCAATGAACAGTAATAT